TTTGGAATTTTAAATAAAATTATCAAAGAATCGAAATTATAAAAATTATCATTTAGACTTGTATAAATTCTATTATGGAGCACTTGTTATTAAAACTGTATAAGATGATGTATTTTTTTATAAAAAGTTTATATGAATCATACTCTTTTTCTCAAGTTCGAGTTTAGGCTTCTTCAATTTTTTCTCTCAAAGGCTGGTGTTATGCTTTTAAAAATGCTTAAGCGATACTGCCAAATGATCCTCAAGCCAATATTAAAAGTAATTATAAAGATCTAACAACAAAGAATAAAATGATTGCATCATGATATTCGAGTTAAACATTTTTACCAACTAACCAATAAATCAATCCTATCGAGAATTCGAAGCTTTGAGCTAATTAAATCCATTGTAGATTATAGAACCAATATATAATAAAGAAGTAGTACCCACTCTAAGTGCTCAAATATTTTAATGGGAGGTTTGTCTTAATCGACACAGAGACCACAAGATAACAACTAAAGGATACATAATCTTATGGTATTGGCTTTCAAGAAGGGTAAGTCTGAAATCGGAATTCTTTTACAAACTAAGGAGTTAAGGGAGATTTAAACAACAAAAAATAAAGTAGAATATTTGTTTGGGGGGATTTGCATTGAAGCATTGCCAGGGAAGTAAATTTGGCTACAGGATTTATAGATAGATGGAAAATAAAGAATATAGATGGTGTAAAAAAAGTTAATGGCGATCTAAACAGAAACTTTCTTAAAAGAGAAGATTTCTTAAGAAATTTAAGTCCACTCAGACAAAAATTTAGAAGTTGATTGTAGAATCCTTTCTACTATATGAAGTGCAATCCAATCTGCTTGCTTATATAGAACAGAGTTTCTATAGTCCTACTAATGAAAAGTGTGCCAAAGAAGTAAAGCAGATGAGTGGTATTGATTGGAATGATAATGAATAATCAGCATTTGTGTTCAAATTTTGAAGAAGGAAATCCTTAATAATCAGATTTAGAGAAAAGTAAATTCTTTAACTAGATTGAAAATTATAAATATAATAGTAGAGGTTGGTTCAAATTTCTCGTTCAGTAGGCAGTGCAATACTGATTTTAGATGTTAAGATCGAATTAGATTAAAATTGAATTTTATCCGATTACTCAGGACATCAAAGAATCTCCTAAACTCAACTTTGCTGTTAGGGAAATAAATTGTGATCACTCAGTGAAAAGGTAATGAGGATTAGTTTTGCAGAAAACACTAAAAATTGATGGGGAGGCTGATCCCGAAAGAGATTCATAATAGGCAAAGCTCTCTATAAGTTTGGAAGATAAGGAAAAATTTAATCATATTAGTAAAGTTTACCTCTATAATCTTATACCGAAGATTCATAATCTAAATACTCTTTTTTTTTCTAAATATTTTATCCATATAGATGCAATTTATTTTAACGATTGTCGTTTTCTTCACAAATCTAGCTTAAATTAAGGAAATTTAGTTGCAAAGTAGTGAATTTTGAGGAATTTTACTCTCCAAGTAACTTCTTGAATTTAGGTTGCTTTAACTCATTTTAAATGGATTTTGAATGTTATTAAAATACAATAATTCAACGAACCTTATTTTATTAACTACACATAGGGTTCTACTGACCATTTTAAAGAATAAAAATCAATATCATCTTTATGCAGAAGTATAGTTCCTATATATTTGAATTGGTATTGAATTCTTTCAAAGGATATAAAACATAATGCATATCTTAAATAAAGAAGTCTTTAAGGTAATGATTCTTTCCAAATTTCTCATTATACAACCCTTTGCAGGAGATGCATAGGAATGTATTATTGTGTGATGTAAAGATGCATGGTATGTCGTGATCTTCCAGAATTTTTTTCTCTGCCAAGAAAATAATTTCCTCTCCTAATGCTGGCAAGCAAAGTTGAAATTACTTGAACTAGTCTTCATAACATTTTAAATTTACTACTAAATACTTTTTATTTAGAAATTTCAATTAAGATTTAAACCCTTTTATATTTGAAGCGCTTAAACTTTAAAATCTTTTCTTACAATCTTATAAGCCTACAAACGCTGCCTGGATAATTTTATTTTTAGTGACCACCCATGGCACATTGATCTATTTCATTCTAACCACAAGTAAATTTCTAAAATTCAAGACGATTACTCTCTTCAAATTATTTATATATAGTTCTTCTTGATTAAGGGAAATTTTGAGCGATTATTCATTTTTCTCTTTCAAATCTATAAAGGCTTTTCTAAGAAATATACCCTCCCCCCTTACATTAATGATTCTTCTAGTTAATAATAAAGTATTAATTTCTTTCAATTTTTATGACTTTTAGAATGGCACCATGGATATTATAATTAGGATTGTAAATTTTTTAGTTGTCATGACATATCTACAATGGGAATTAAGCAAAGATACTATATCTCAATAACTCTTCAAATTGCTTAATTAAAAAATTACTATTAATATTTAATAAATTATAGAAATAACATAGAAAATTAAAATATTATTATAAAAAGTAGATTTTATTAAATAATAATGAATTAATCTAACAAGATCTAATCAGGACTTTTTGTTATTTAATTCGCATGATTGCACAAATGAAATAAAGTAAATTCAATATTTTCGCTTCAATAGCATAAAAAAGTTTATTCTATTACAAAAAACTATATTATAAAATATAATTAGAGAAAGAAAAGATATTATTAAAATTTCAAAGGAGAAGAGCAAAATAAAAATTTGACTATTAATAATTTCTACATTTTCCTAACAAAAAAAGTATAATTTCGATCAATGCCGATACTCCACAAGTGAATTCGATATAAGAAAACATCAATGTTATTAGATTGATATTATGCATGTATGATTACTAAAATTTTAACATCTTCGCGCTTTCAAAGAGTCAGATCCAAAATTTTTCACCCATTCTTATGAAATCAATTGAAAAACAAGAAACCTTTTAATATTTCTTTGTTTTAAATAAATATCAGAGGCAAAGAGAATAGGATTTCTCAGACTTATCCCAATATCATATAATTTTCTTAGTTTAATTTGGATGTAAAATTAACCCTAAAGCAGCAGATGCTTACTTTCTTTAACTATCGCGTTTGGATCCTTCTAAGCTATGAATGGACTTCTCTAAACACAGATAAATTATAACTAATTTTTGTGGCCCAAATTGGCAATTAGGAGTTATTCCTCTAAAATATGATAAGCAATACGACAATGTAGAGTTTAGAGAAATTCAAGAAGAGTAAAGTATCATCATATTAATATTCGACAAGATAGTATTAAGAATCTGTGGTGTTTATTAATAACAAGTAAATAATAACTTCAAGGAGATTGGAGAGTTAGAAGGATACTTAACCAAAAAGCAAGTTCAGCATAAGATTTATACAAATTGGCATACTATTATGAAATTAAATCAAAATTATTGATAGAATAGGAATATGCTTGGAATGGATTGAATTAATTATAACTATAATAATAAAGTGTAAAGCTTTCAAAATTGACCTTGAATGAGAGAGAAAAATATATAGAAATAGTTAAATCATATAAAATTGACCCTTAAATTAGCATGAAATCACGAAAATCTTGAAGTAGCTAATGAAGCAGAGAAACAAAAGGAAAAAGGATAACCTTAGATTTTTGAAGATCTAGAGAGTAATCAAATTGAAATCTAAGAGTTTACAATGGCAAAGCCTTATTTTGAAAAGCAAAAGAACTTTATTTACAAGTTTTTTGGAAACATTCAACCTAATATGCCTAGAGCTATTGTTAATTATCTTCAACTAATCAATTGACTGATTTATCAAAATGTGAAGAAATATTAAAAAATTTGTATTAATATTTAGAAAGCTTCAATAAAGATACCATGTTTTTGGATTTATAATGAATTATTATTGCATTTTAGAAGGTTAAGAGAAAAGGATGAATGAATATTTTGATTAAAATTTTGAAATGAGAGAGAAATTTGATATCTAAAAATTATTTATTGATTGTGATTATGATATTTAAGCTATTAAACTTGTGATTAGAAATGGTTAATTTTAGTAGAATTCACTTAGTTTGTTGAAGAGTATTAGATTTATTTAGTAAGCTGACTATTAAAGCTTAGAAGTTATTGCTTCTAAGTGAATTAGGTGATAAATTTGTATTGCCTAAAAATATACTGCATGAAAAAAATTTTAGAAACATGGATGAATATAATGAGTGAGGTTTTCTGGTAGATAATGATTTATTGCAATACAAGGTAGATGAATCTTTTTTTTTTATAAGCAACATACTTTTTTATGGGGACTGAAAATTATCGGAGAAAGTTTTTGCCAGGATAATTGAGAATAATAAGAGACATCACACAAAATCCTTTTTTATTAATTTTAAATCACTTTTTCCCTTCAAGCACAACCCCATTAATTTTAAATGAAGTGAAACCTTTAGTTTAATTTCTGATATAGATTTCATGATTTTTAAGGGAAGTTTAGAGGAGAATCTGCCATAATTTGATAAGAATCCAGTTTCATTCAGTGTCACTAAAGTTAAACCAATGAAAATGATTTGTTAAATTTTTGTAGCTTTGAATTGGAGAGCATATATTTTATATTTGGTGAAAATTTCCTCTCCTTTTCAGGAAATCTTACAGCTGATTTTGGATTAATTCAATCATCTATAAATGTAGTGGAATACGATGCTATACCTTTGAATAAACTTAGGTAGAGATCAAACAACCAATTATTCAACCTTGAATAGTATGGCATTATAAGTTCGAAAAGTGGAAATGGATACACCTATGCATATTCTTAACGCTTTTCTCATCACTTTGCATTTTCGACTAGTTCATGTTTGGTTACAATATCCAGACTAAAAGCACAAGTTAATTTTTACAACTTGACTTTATTTATCTATAATTTAGAATCTGATTAAATTATTTTTAATACGAATAAGTAATAGAGCACTTTCTAATTGGCTAGAAAGCCTGCTTCCTCAGACACATCTAAATGATTCGGAGGTAATGTGACTAATTATTTATACCCTGTCTCACTAGGACCTGTGTATATATAAATAAAAGCACTTAATTCTACAGTGATCTTCTAAATTGATTTTATTGTTGAATTTTGAATTCTCTCTAAAATTCTAATAGAATTAATTTCAGAAATCATTGCTGCTATTTCATAAAAATTAAGTAGACCTAATTTAAATAGGTAATATCCAATTATTAATTGCTAATTTCTGGACAGGAACTACTGTTAATTTAGATGGTATATAACTTCTAGGAACTAGCATTTGTAGTTAAAGCTACGAAATTGGCAATACTTTTTAGCAATGCTAATTTCTTAATATTGAAGTTATCTCCATTTGTTCAGGGGACATCTTTTGAAGGCAACCTAAGGTTGAATTCATTTCAGATGATAAATTCTCAAAAAGTGGACTAGCATCCCCATTTCAATTACTAATACTTTAAGTACTGTAAGAAATTTTAATTAATTGACTTTTTATTATTATGATCCATCGACTTAATATGATGAAGTCTAGAGTCACTTTATAGATTCAAAATTGTTCCTTAAATTTCTATGAATTCTTATGTCCAAAGATTGGATGTACAGTTATCACTTCTATCTCTTAGTAGATTAAATTGACGGCTCCAATTACCCAGGTAAAGGAGTCTAAACGCCTATATGTGGTTATTTTGGATAGAGTGATAAAAATGATAATTTACAATCATACTCTCCTTAATCACGAGCATGATAAGTTCTTGTCAAATGCAAATTCCCAAAGATATTTTTCAACTATTCAAGAAGGTATCCAATAAATCTTCACAACAGTATATAACCAATCAAAAATTGGAAATATTTGTCTCTGATCAATTCGAGGATATTGGCGATTTATAGCATCAAATGCAAGCCTTTTTTATTTGAAATCAAGCTAAGCAGCAAAAGCAAATAGCTCATACCTATACCATATCAAAGACGGATGGAGTTGAGTTGAAGCTTACTTTTTCAGCCTCTAAAGCATTTCCCCCTTAAACTTTTATAATAGTATAAATATGGGATCAATATGCCAGTTTAAAGTTCAATGACTAAGCCTACACCATAACGACGCGCATAATTTTTTGAATGCTCTTATTGATATGGCCTCTGTTGGAGTAGGAGTTTAAATTTAATTATACTTTATTTACTGGGAAGGTTCCAATTTACATTCAGATTAATCAATGGCGGCATTCAACATATTCTATAGATAAATTTGAACTTCAATGACGGCCTAAAGTACATTAGCCAAACCTCATTGTTCCATTTTGAATTAGGATTGTTTTTAGAATTTCGATTGGAAACTCTTTGAAGGATGTTCATTTACTTTGATAACAATAAAATCAGTTAATGATTTGAACGCAGGAATCTCTCCATTACAGATGAATTAACATTTTGCAACCCTAATGGTATTTCTAGTCAAAATCTTAAGTGGCTAGACTATTTTGTCTCAAGAGAAAATTAGTAATATTGAATAATCGAAGTACTTTTATAGTAAATATCCTGCAATGACTAATATGAGAAATCATGAAAATATGAATCCTTGAAAGGTCGGATTTTTGAGTAATAGATTGTACCTGAAAGAAACCAGTTTATTCATGAAGACTATGCACACGAATTTATATTTATCATATAGAATTGGGAAAACACTTTTCATGTTGTAAGACACTGTTGCTCAGAAACTAATTCACCAAAGAGTATTAATTCTTTTAGACAGAAGTTTAATGGATCAAAATTAAAGAGATGAGCAGATAGATTACATGATAACAAACAACAGAGGTAATAATTAATAAGTTCAAAAACAGAAGAACAAAGAGAATTAGTGAAAAAGATAGGCCTTAGTTTATATTTAATTAAGAGGCAGCATACCATTGAAAAATTCCTAACTTAGTATTAATAGGTAAATCTTTGAGCGAAAAAATGAAGAAATCTCTTCCCACAACTGGTTTCTAATATTTTAACCTATATTTAAATTAAAAAGATTGATATTTAATTGATATTATTTTTTTATTTTATTTCAATTCTCCAGAATCAATTTGGAATATTATCCAATATTTTAACTTTGGAATTATAAATGTAAACACATGGATATAATTCTTATGATATGGAAGTATCTATTTCTAGCTACTAATAATAGTTTGATAGTTACAACAGTTGCTAATGGATTATTCTATCTCATCCATTTAATATACTTATGTTCAATACTTACTTCAATTATTATTACATCGTTAGTTGTAAATGTGAATGATAATTATTAATCATTAACATCTTTATTATGATGAGAGTAAATATAACCATTATAACCTATCAAGTATGATCTATTATGATTTAATTTAATACCCATACCCAACTCCTATTTTTGTATAATTATTTTTTTATATAATATCTCTGAATCCTATTCCAATATAAAAACAAGTTCCACTAATCATTTAGAATGCAAACAGTGTTTTCCCATTCTTTGGAATTGCTTATTCACAAAGACAATAATAACTACTATTACTATTCTCAACAACTTTTCCACCTTCACTTACTTAACAATTAGCACCCTTATAGGTATTAGAAAATAA